GCTATAGCTTTGCTGTCTGCCTTAGTGTTCTTCTATACAAGCAGCAAATCCCAATCAGTCTGTTTTTGCAACCCAAATGCATGAGATTAGTGACTGCAGGAGCAAACAGAATCACTTTAAATCCTGTAAGACAAGTGAATGATATTACTTCACAAGTATGAAATCTGAGATCTCTTTGCCTTTAATTTAAAAAACCTGTACCTAATAATCACATTAAAGTCTGTTTGGCATGCCAGACAGCTTTTACTTCCTCTGTTATTTTTACAATTTGAATGTCCTTTGTAGTTACTGAAATTAATTTATGCCTTTCAGCAAATATTTTTTTAAAAACTTTTTATCTATAAAGGTTGGTATTGTCAAGTACAATATACTTCTATAATTTCACATCTAAGTGCTTTTGCTCAATTTTTGAATTCGGCAGAAGCTGACAATCATTATTATAAATCTTCCTAAGGCTTAGCATTTGTCAAATCAAACAATACAATTTTTGCAGAAATAGTAGTCTTGCAACTCCATTCATTATTTATACTATGTAGCAGAGTGTTCACAGTGCTTAGGAAATTCAAACCTAACTTTTTTTATTTTGTTTTAAAAGGTCAATTATTTCCTTAAGTACTGGAGGACAGGAATGAGACCTAACCCTGGAGCAACAAATTCAGCAAGGAAAATGGGTCAAAGAACAGATGTTTGGAGGATGACAGAGAGCAGTGGTACAGGTAACCAGGTCAGCAGGCAGGAATCCTGATTAGAGTTAACTGAACTCCATTTCCCTTTCATAATCAAAATACTTGAAAACCTAATTTATAACACCAGCCAACTGCAATAAAAATGACTTAAAAAGCTGTAGAAGCTTTCAGTTGTGAAAGCAATAAGATTTCATTATACTAAGCCAGCTGAAAGATCATCTTTATGGGAAAAGGTTGCTAAACTCCCAGTATGCACATATTAAAACGACAATTAGCAATTTAAATAATTTAAATCATTAAACACACAGATAAAATGAGCACAACTTAACCTCATCTATTTTGGGTTGATTATTCATTGGCTGTTAAGAGATGCCTTCCTGAAGAGGGACAAGACAAACATATTTAACATGACAAAAGCTAAAGTAAGTGCCCTTCTTACAGCATGTGTGTTCCATGGCTGCAAGCTCAGCCAGGCTCTGCGCTGAAAAGTATAGGAAAATGCTGCAAAGATATTTATGCTGCTCTCACAAGAGGCAGCACAGACAGGAACAGCAGAGCTGAACGAGTTCAGGGCACTACAACATGCACATAGCTGTTTAGCGTTGGATTTTGGCTGCATCACATTATGGGGATGGACTTGTTTGTATGGTAGACATACCCACAGAATAGGCCTTACAGGAATCCTTATTTGGTCTGTACTTCGGCAACAGCAATTAACAAACTTAAATGTCTACAAAATTCCAATTTGAAAAGAAAAAAAAAACTGAAGGAACTCTTTGTTAGGATTACTGAATTTCAGAAGTCAAGCTAAGGCATATGCAGTGCTTACTAACCAACTGTGGTGGCTATCTGGCTTTAATTTTACATTTTAAAAAATGAGTTCACACATGCTTCCAATTGTAGGGAAGGTTTTGCTTCCTCCCCCTTTCCTCCCAGATAGCTTGCACTTGCTAGTGTAATCACAGCCCATAAGAAGAAAAAGACCTAACCTCAGGCAGAACCACTCCATTGATGCTGTTTCTTGCAGATGTTTGTGTAACCTGTTCTTAAAGGCCTGCAGATATGGAGACTCCACAGCAGTTTATTCCACTGCTTTATCATCCCCATTTTAATTCTTTGCCCCTCACTATCAAACTCTGCAGCTTGTGACAAAATTTGTGGCCATTACTTCTTGTCCTGCAAAACTAATACAGGGCACAAACTCCTTCCTCATTACAGTTTTCTTTTTATGTTGCTGAATATTTATATCCTCATTCATATTTTTTTTCAGTTCAACAATATGAGTTCCTTCACAGTCTTTCCCAGTGGGTAGCATTTTAGGAACCTATTACTCTCTCTATTCCCCTCTGGACTCTTTCCATTGAACCACATATTTAAGTGCAATACTGAAAACTAGACACAAACTAAGGATGTACTAAGTTAAAACACCACCATGAATGTGAAAATCTGGAAAAAGCCAAGAACACTCTCCTCAAGTCGCTTCACACTGCTTAAAAATTACCAGTGGAAATGAATGTAGTTGGACATAGGAATTAATTTCTTTACAAAAAGCAAGACAGCTTGAAATAGAACTTCTTTGGGGTACTTAGAGGGAGTGAATTTCACTGATGCTCTTCTGGTACATATGAATAGTTTAAGCTTATTCTTCAAGAAGTATTGGAGTATTTTTCTAACCTTATTTTTTGCTGAGGAAGAAAGCTTTAAGACAGAAGCCACAATGGAGACATTGTTTTGGACTGGATTACTTTGAGTTTTTTATACTAACACCTATTTAGCTCATTTACTATTAAATCAATAATTACCTTATCAATCCCTTTTATTATAGCTCTCTGACTGCGAAAGGATCACCAAGGCATGCTGCCCCTGATGCTTTACAAGAGAAGAAACAAGCAGAAAGTGATCCCAAGTTTTTAAACAGTATCTCCTATATTACAGAAGAAGTCATAAAAACAAATTCGAATTTGCCCTTGAATGTTTTTCTTTTCTGGATCGAGTGCATTTGCCAGCTAATACATACTTCAAACTCCCTCTGGCTTGATTCCCATTAAATTGACTGTAGGCAAGAGATTCCCAACCTCTTCTACACAAGCTATTCCAAAACAGCACTTGGTACACCAAACCTTACCACCTTGCACAGCTCCCAGTGGAAACAGGGAACAGCTGCTTGGGCAACAAGCTCTGCCTGTGCATGCAAACATCTCTTCCACTGTGCACAAACTCTAACCAAACCACAAGTTTTTCCTGCAGCTTTAACATTTCTTATAGCAACATTTCTTATTCAGCTATGGTGATGCCCAAAAAGTAAGAATCCTTGCTGTAAATCTACATCTATTCTATATCACGTCTTCAACAAATATAAAGGATAAGTTGTACATCTTGTTCAATAGCTGAATGGATACACCTGAAGTAGTTCTCCATTTCAACATTTCTAGTACTGATGCAGTAACAGCCTGAGATGCAAAGAAGTTTCCATCAAGTTTTTAAGTCTTTAGTCTTAATACCTAATTGCTGCAACTCTGTGCAAAGCGGTGATAAAAGCAGCAGAAACTCTTGTAAGTTTTGTGCCAGGGAAGCTAACCTAAGCATTATCAGCAGTCAAAAATTCTGAGAGAAGTAAAAACTTACATTAATCATATAGTGGGAGGTCACTGGAAGTAAAAAGGTTTATAATCAGACCTTTCTCCACACACAAAAATCCCTGAAAGTTCCTTTTTTCTTACAAGAAAGTGACAGCTCTTAGAACAAGCACATTTATCTTATTTTTCTTTCCAACTCATGGAAATAACAGATCTCTCTTGCTGAAGACCTCTCACCTAATGGAAGAAGCAAGTGAGCTTTGTTCTTTCTTTCCACCACTGGATGTGTCCAAGTATGGTGGCCAAATCTACTATGCAAAGGACCCTTAATAAAGAATGTTTTTACACCCAAGCCAAGGAATGAAGCAGAAAATGGGTGTAAATCTTAGTATGGTGTTGGTTTTGTGACGAGTATATGTGGAAACATTCCATGCATCTGTATTATCTGTGTCAAGATAATTAATCACATTTTCCAAAGCAATCTCTAAAGATCTTTCTCATGCACACTACTTACTACCAACCCCTGTGAAATAGTTTTGCACAGTAAAAATTAGCATCTTTTTAATAAAATCACTCCAGTTCAGTAGCTAATGAATACTACAAGAAATATGATACATAATACTAAACAGAATAAACCTTAAAATCCTTAGTTTCATTTGATTAGCAGGTAACTTCTCTCTTACAGGAACTTTTTTGCAAATAATGTGTTGTTCTAAAAATGGTAATAATGCAAATGGCTTAGTTTTTAGTATATGTAATATAACTTTGTAGATTCATTAAACTTCAGAAGGAACTTGTATAAATATCTTTTTGTTATTATATCGACCAGGAAAAAATTATTTAAGAAGTACACAAATTGCCCAGAAGGCTCTAAGGCATTACATTGCACTCTAGCCCATGGCTTTATTTCCCATTATTTAAGATAATTCCTGAAATATAATAAATAAAAGACACCTAATCTCAAAATATACATCAACAGATTTAAACATTACTCTCATTAACCCCTACAGAGCCTATAAAATAGGGTCAGCTGAAAGGACTTTCAAATGCTCCTCAGCAGACACTACATCATGTTCCAGTGATCTACTGCTTGAAAAGGAAAAGTCTTTTACAGCCCAGCCCCTAAGGGTTTCAAGATCATAACATTTAAAACCCCTAAGTACAAGCTTGCTTTGATATGTGGTACAATACTATAAAATATGAATTAACAAGGCCATTAATCATTTTACATAATATAATTATTAAGCATGCTCTAATCCCAAAAAAGGCACTGAAATAGTATCGTATGTGTTACTCTTTTTAAAATTTGCAGAGATATTTCAGTTTAATTAATGGAAACCACCTGTCTAAACACCATTAGCTCATATGTATTTTTTAAGGACTGGCTTGAAACAGAAATGGAATCTTTACCCAAGTCACACAAACATTCCCTGGCAGTGAAAGGAGGTGGCTACAAAACCTGCAGCGTATTGTTTTTCTGATTTTGGGTTACAGTAGCTGAAGTTTGTAAGCACCAGAATCCTCATCCAGCTGATCAGTTACAGCTGTTAATTGTGCAGGGAGAGACTGGCTGACATCTGCTTCTTGCAGAGTTAGTTAATGGTTCACTTCCAGGTCCTAAAAGGATTGTAGCTTCTCTCAAAAGCCCCTGTCGGCCCCCATCCCTGTCTGCCTGCTACACTGCCTGTCTTGTTCTGGTTTGTCATCCCCTACACAATGCAAATCTCAGGGAACTCACATCTGCCACTGATCGACCCAATTCGTGAGCAATCTTTTCCCATCGACCAGGGGTCCCTCCTGGGAACTTAACCATACTTCTTGTCAGCTGGCTGAGGTCCTCCTCTGTCCATTCCGGTGCCTGTAAGACATTTGTAAAACATTCATTACACTGGGATATTGCACATATATTTGCAAGGTAATATACTGAAAGAAAAAATTAATCTTTCAACAAATTAATCAAATAATGTTAAAAAAAGAAAAATATCTGGGTGTCTTTTCCCTGTGCTGTTGCTGAAAATGCATAAAACCCCCAGACTAACAGTAAGATATTAAAAATCCTTAGCACTCAAAAAATGCATTTTGTGTATTATATACACTAGCACATGAAACTTCTATTAGCTTTAATACAATGTACATAACATTGGAAAACGCAGTAGATATAAAAAGCAACAATACTTTTATTAAAAATTATGGGGTTATGCAAGGAAGAAATTAGAAGGGCCAAAGCCCAGCAATAACAATCTGACTACTGCCGTAAAAGACAACAAAAAAGTTTCTACAAATCTACTAGCAACAAAAGGAAGGCTGAGGAGAATCTCCATTCTCCACTGGATGCAGGCAAAAACATGGTGATGCAGGATGAGGAAAAGACTGAGGTACTTAATGCCTCCTTTCGCTCTGTCTTTAATGGTAAGATCAGTTGGTCTCCATGTATCCAGCCCCTGAGCTGAAAGACAGAAACAAGGAGCAGAAAGAAGTCCCCATAATCCAAGGGGAAATGGTCAGTACCTTCTGCACCACCTAGACACACACAAGTCCATAGTGCTGGATGGGATCCACTCAAGGGTACTGGGGGAGCTCACAGAATTAGCTCACCAAACCCTTTTCCACCATCTACCAGCAGCCCTGGCTGACTACAGAAGTCCCAGTTAGCTGGAGGTCAGAAAATACGATGCACATCTACAAGAAAGACTGGAAGGGGAATGAGGGAACTACAGGTCTGTCAGTCTGATCTTGGTGCCAGGGCAGGTCACAGAGCAGATCATCCTGAGTGCCATCACATGGCACACACAGGAAAACCAGGGGATCAGGCCCAGCCAGCATGGGTTTGTGAAAGGCACACCCTGACTGACTGACCTTCTGAGACAGGGTGACCTGCTTAGCGGATGAGGGAAAGGCTGTGGATGTGTCTACCTGGACTTCAACAAAGCCTTTCACACTGTTTCCCACAGCATCTCCTGGAGAAACTGGATGCTCATGGCTTGGCCAAGTACACTCTTCACTGGGTGGAAAACTGACTGGATGGCCAGACCCAGAGAGCAGTGGAGAATGGAGTTACATCCAGCTGGGGCCAATCACCAGTGGCATTCCCTCAGTCTCAGTCCTGTTTAATATTTTTATCAGTGATCTGGATGAGGGTATTCAGTGCACCCTCAGCCAGTCTGCAGACACAAGAGGGTGGTAATGTTGATCTGCTGGA